CCCCCCCCCCCCCCCGATGCATCGATACACTATCGATAGTCTAGGTCGATGCATCGATGGTTTGAAAACGGCTATCGTGACAGCCCTAGTAATAATATACGGTTGTATGCCGAAGGACACGACCTACTTATAAACACACGCAGAACATTCTAGCATGCTCTGGAAAAAAATTGTACTGGATATACAAGAAATTCCGAGAACATTCTTTCCAATCAGATATTTCAAAATGTATTCTCCACCCTTACAAAGGAACACAAGAAAATATTTAAAGTTAGGCACACATAGAATCATAGAGGTAATGATTTTGATAAAAATCAAGGCTTTCGACCCCATATATCACGTATTTCAATGGGGACGTACTTTAAACACGTGTTTCCCATTTCGCAAAAAATGAATGAATTAATCACTATCCAAGGTAATAGAGCGCCGAAGGCGCGACCATAACGACCCGAAGGGCAAACAAACTCGCTAGTATATAATGCATCTTGTTGCCGCTCGGTAGAATTTGCTTTTGCTCAGTGAAAGCGGGAGAAAGTTGCACTATTCTTCTAAAGGCGTGATGGTGGTGCAATACATGAATATTGGAAAGCTCTGCTCATACAACTTCTGCTAGTTAATCTATCCTTGAAAATGGTAATCAGCAAGTCTGGGCTTAAGCAGAGGATAAATCCCGAATTCCCCATTTAGGAGAGTTGAGAGGGTGGTGAAGAAGAGAGATCATGCCCTGCTGTCTACGTAGGACGTCCTCGGCTTTTGCTCGTGAGGGTCACGGTGAAGCAGCATCTGTCATGTTCGCGTCTTGAGAACTGATGGTGAACGTCACCTGACTTCGAAAACCAGGTTTCAAAACTTGAGGTAGAGACTCAGCTTCTGAAAGCCAGATCATGTTCGGCTGCATATTTTTCACTGTGAAGAAGGATGTCCAAAACGTGTCTCTTGTGACATCGGAGTGTCTCTTTGGGGCATTAGGCTCTAACATCTCGAGCCATCGACACTAGGATCCTAGTAAATTGTGGGATAACAATGATCTTTGTAACTTTGTTCACAGAAGTTCTTGGATGTAAGAATCGAGCCCCATCCTGTTTCATTCCCAGTCATGTGCATTTCTCATCCACCAGGCAATTCGTCAAAGGAGCAAACACCTTCGCGATGAACGTCTATCAAATCCTGATGGATTTTCCATTGAAAAATTGACCAGGGGAAAATATCAGGTGGCGCATAAAAAACTTGCTGAGATTTTTGCGCCCATT